TTTTTTGTCATTAACACATAGTAACAGGTGGATAGCCCTGGTCAATAATAACAATAATTTGTCAAACTATGACTTACTTTGAATTTTCTTTCACTAATTTGCTGATATGCGATTAGTTCAGGGGAAATGCTACAGTACAGAGGAACAAGTATTGTACAGAGGAACAAGTATTGGACATAATCGAATCAGGGGTACTCAGAGCACAATAACTGACACTTTTCCAAGCACCAAATAAATACGGAGGAAGGGCTACATTCCTATCACGTTTGCACGATACATACACAGTACAAGGAGCACACACTTGTACAAATGGAGCAGGAGTTAATTAACTGAATACGAGAAGCTGCTTGATAAGAGTGGATAATAAGGAGATTACACAGGCGCTTGCAGAGACAAGGGACAGATAACTTTCTTGTCTCTGGGCACTAGCTTGTTTGGAGTTAACCATTCAACCAATTCGAGGTTATGACAACAGGTTGACATTTCGAAAGTACGTTCCGCAGTCAACGAATCTTGTTGAATTTACCGTTTATCCTTGTCTATCTTATTGTTACTCTGTTATAATTCCATGGTTACCGGAGTTTTAAATAATTACGAAGCAACAGGTATTTGCGCAATTATAATTAGGCAGATTACCTTGAAAAACATTGCTGCCGTATTTCTGATATTGTTTTTTGCAAATTACTCAGTTTTTAATAACAATTAATTTCTTTTACTATTTTCTCTGTACTTCTATGACAGCGCCAGATAGCACCTCCGCCAATTTTGAATCACCCTGCATATTTAATAATGAACGCTTACAAGGTTTTTCAAAAAATAATAACTTTTGGTTATATGTCTGCTCTATTATCACAAGCTGATCGTCAATAATAGAAGTAGCAAAATTTCTTACATCTATAACTGAACCACCTTTAAGTAAAACTGAACAATTTGCACGATCAACTGCCAGCTCAAAAGCGTTAAAGCTTAATTTGCCATACTGAGAGGCTTCACATCCGGTGGTGTGAGGTCAATTTGAACGAAGAGCCCTACAGTCAATTTCGAGGCATTTTCGAAAGAATCACTGTGTTGAGAATTCACATAATTTATTTCACTTATCCTATAAATAATTTGAGCCAAATAATTGTCGGGCTTTCTTATTAATGATTTAAGCTTTTGTAAGTAATTTTCCAAATCAAAAATGGAGACACTGTGGATGGGTCCAAATCGTTGAACATCATCAGTGATGTGAAGCAAATTATGAACATCCTGAACCAAGTGCTGAGAACCATATATTGATTTCATAGTTTTTACAAAATGCACTAGGAGGAATTCTGCATATCCCAAAATTTCTGAACTAACTGTATCTGAAGATCCAAATCTCATGGCAAATCATTAGAGTTAAAAAATGCTGATACTTCCTTTTAGATTATGCGTTTCAGAACAATGGGCCCAGTATAGAATAAAAATTGTATATACTCTGTCGCTTTCCATCTTTTAACTTCTGACAATGATCTTGACTCTTGCAAACGCATATGGTATATAAGGAACCAGTGACATTAAATGTTCTGATATGGCATTAATACTTTGGCAAGATAACTTATGAGGTGGTCACTTATCCAAATTCCTGAGAGCATTCTTTTAACAACCCCACGTAAAACTAAATGCATATAATCTAAACGTATGTCTTTAATTAAATCAATTCCAGGAATATTTAAAAGAATGGTGTTACTAACGTGGTGTCATTTGTTCCTTTGGCTAATAAAGGCCTCGTCGGTTCTCTTAATAAAATTTAAATTTGGAAAACGGACATGCTGTATTAAGTATTCGGCTTCTTGCGGCGTGCACTTGGTACAACAATAATACCTGAATGCCCCTTAATGCAGAGTACAGAATCTTTTGCAACGGCATCCATCAAGAACATACTGACTTTAAATTTGCATAATTTACCTAAAACGCTAATGCCATTGCGAGTTAAATATGCAGCTTCTGTCCCAAATTTTTCAAGAAAACCCTGAATGTTATCGGGCTTGGCATAGTCATGAAAAATTCCAACCACAAATACATTTGACTGACATCGATTAAGATATTTATTTATTCCTAAGATTGGATAAAACTGGCTGCTGCTACTTTTGAGCACGGGAAGTCCGTCAATATTAACAGCAATAACTACTTCTTCTTGCGGAATAATATTTTACATAATATACTAAAATTCAATGAACTTGTGTAATCCAAAATGATAGTATTTACCAGGAGGCACCACCCGGGTGCAAACTTGTCCAGGAGTGTTTAAAAATCTTCGAGAATATTTTGAAAGATTTTTAAAAGTAGGACTAGAATCACTCGACAAAATCTGAAGCAGATCGTTTAGAGCATTATGAGCTACTTTATATTTAATAACCCATAAACGTAAACTTGTTTTTTTTATATTATTAGAAGTTGTATGATTTTCATCGGGTTGGTTTTATGGTAGTCTAATTAATTTGGAGGGAAGTATGATATCTAAATTTGTAATATTAGTATCTAATTTATATAAATGATCAAAGGTATTGCTCATTGTATTACTAGAGTCAAGACTTAAACTGTTGTCAGAATTTGTAACATGCACATATTTTGAATTATTAACCCCATTGTCATCAGATGTTGAGGAAGTATTGATACAAGATAACGCCCTAACTTGATTACCTGTATTTGGCTTACCTGACTGTTCTAATGTTGGTTTTATTGACTTATTTGATATTCTTTATTTACAACTGGTCCGTGATTGGATGGCTTGTTTTTTACATCATTTAAAATATTATTGATTGCCTTATTTTTCTCCTGAACTAAGTTATAATACCATCTGCTACTTCTTTTTAATGTTCTCTTAGTTTTAGACATTGCTGCACCAAAATACTACTACTACTACTACTACTACTACTACTACTACTACTACTACCATCACTTACAGGACGCTACAAAAACCACTGCAAACACTTTGCAGGAGAACTGTATAAATTAATACAAATCAGTACGAAGTACTTGTACAAACGCTGATATTCAAGTGATTCAATAACGACCGAAGGTATCATGCTCACATGGGTGGACACGACCCTATGGTCGGTCAGTCAGTCAAATCTGCGCAACAGTTATTTCGTTTCGGTCCTACAAAATTCGGAATATACATGGGAAAACGCAGCTAATATACCCAATTGAATGTACCCATATGAATATTCTGGAATATTGTTCTCAAATGCTTACTGGAATATTCCCACTACAACCTGAAAAACATATTCTTGGAATGTACAAATTTGATGAATAGTATTCTGAATACTCCCGGTATATACATAGAATATCTAGGATATATATCTTCAATTTGGGACTTTCTGCGAATATTCCTAGGTTGTTTTGTGTTATCTGGGCTGTCGTCGCAGTGGGTGGATTCGTCGCAGTTTGCGTCCCGCGGGGTTAGATTTGCGGCAATCCCAAGAGACGTGTTTCGAATTTATATTATAT